CCAGGGCACTTCCTGTCACTTGAAGAATTACGACTTCTCCCTAGTTTCCTCCTCTGATGAGATCCCCTTCCCTCCTACTTGCCTGAGATCTCCCAACGATGTGGATAGCCCGCCTAGAACGCAAAAATCATCCATCAAAAAAATTTTTCAGGCTGGATACGACCCCGTCCTCCCTCCAGCGACTGAATACAACCCCGCTGAGGTTTCCGTGGCGTACACTCGTTCACCACATCCCTCTACATGGTAGTGCAGAGAGCTTACTTCTCGCTACCGCTCAAGTGTGGTAGCAGGTTTTCCGTTCGACCCTGACCCTTTAAAGGCGACTCTTCACTCGAAACGTTGGGCCACTGCAGTCAAATTTCCACCCATCAACCTTGAAAGGAGCATTGTATACTAACACAAGTCTAGAGAGCGTCCTTCGGAACAGGAGCTCATACTCAGTTGTGATGCTATCTCCTCCTTTTCCATGAAGAGTGGTGAGGCAGAGAGGAGGGGGAGGGGAAGCAACGCGTTGCTCCTGCCTGGAATGGGATCCGTCAGGGAGAACCTAGCTTACAGCTGGGTCGTCGATATCTATCACACACGCTTTAGAGGACTAAAAAGCGGTAAGCTCTTGGGGCTCTTGGGATATAAAAGAACGCGTGGGGAAGGTAGCGTGGTCCGCAGTGATCAACCTTGTACTAATTTCGCAGCGAAAGAAGCAAGCTAAGGGTGCAAGTGTGCAGTGACGCTCCAGTAACGCCTCCCTTTTGCCAGTAGCTCCGCCCTATAGCGAAAAACGGTCCCCGACATTAGCATGAGGTTGAAACTCCACTGACGCTTGCGGGGTGGCGCGAAAACCTCCTTCGACGCTTGTGTGATGGCAGGAGAAAGCTTATCCAGCCAGACGATTCTTTACAAGGGAATCGGCTGGCTAGACGAGTCGTCCACTAAGCTGATTCTTTGGTAGGTGAATTATAAGCTATGGTATTCAAAATCAAAAATTACAGTCCTATCGTGTTCACATCTCTCTTCGCTATGGCAGTTGGCATCGTCACCTACCCAGAAGGGTTTGGGAGATACATCGCTGGCCAGGTAAACTTCGAACTCCTATGTTGGACTACTAGAAGCTCCTATGTTGGACTACTAGAAATTTTTCTGAACTACATCTCCGCTTTTTCAAATTTGGTTTTGATATTGATGTCTTCAGTTCACATTCCGCGAGACCTTAGCCGATTTTCTTGCCAACTGCACATTTTCGTTGACAAATGTTAGCAGTCATGGCTGCCCCGCGGAGATGATCGCGCACTGGACTGGTGGAATTTCAGGAGAATTCCACCCACTGCTCACATTATTCTGCTATTTGCTTGTATATGTAAGTTTTTGAACTGATTAGTAAAATTACCGGATTCTTCGAAATCCCTAGAGTTCCTTTGAATAAACTCATGCTGTTACTTTCAGTATTTGCTTATCGCAATTAGTGTCACTCTGTATATTCCTGCGGGTATCTTCGTTCCATGCTTTGTTATTGGAGCGTGTGCTGGTCGAATTGCCGGTGAGGTAAGCACATTGTTTGGGAGCCTCTTTGATGGTGGGAAATTTTCTGACATACATTCAGGTGTTGATCATGTACTGGCCAGACGGGTTCCGTGGTCCTGATGGACCTCAAATTTATCCGGGTCTTTATGCTGTAGTTGGTGAGTTGTGATTTTTTGAGACGTAGTTCACAGTGAGCTGATGAGCACATTTGAACTGGCGCATCCAATCCAATAGCCACTCCTCATTAGTGTGGCCCTCTGTTTCATATCGCAAAGGAGGACTGATGAGGGGAGCAAGTCGTAATGTACAAACCCAGCCTTATAGGGAAGCACTGTTCACTGAAAACCCTTATTCTTGATGCGCTGAGTCTCAGATCAGAGCTTGGTCGAAAATGCAAATTCTAAGAATGATATCTTGAAATGGGCGAGACTTCTCACAGTATAACTTGCTAGAGCCCTTTTTCAGGTGCTGCTGCTCTTACGCATGCTGTGACGCATCGCTATTTTCATTGCCTGTAATTGTATGCCGAAAATAAGCGAGCTGTCAACTCTGCTCGCTCTACTTCCTGTTCTTAGTAGTTTTAGTTTTGGCTCTGTAACCATTTTTCAAAATGCCGAACAGATTGCGATAGAGCAAACTGAGCCAGTTCCGGTTCTTTAGTTTTGAGAGAGCCAAACGGGAGCTGGCTGTTGAATTTGCCCTGGTTCCCTACAAATTTTGGAGACATTTCCAGTATTTAATGAGCAACTGCTGAGACTTCATGTATGCGTAGTAAATGCCATAATCAGTGTTTTAGCGTTCGGGAAGTATCGGTCATATTTGTTCTGTAAGTGTCATCTGTTATCTTTATTATGATGCTTACGGTTCCTTAAAATACGTGGCCTACTAGTGTTCAATGTTATATACCAGGCTTGCCTATGGCAATCTACACGATCTCTCACACTTTATTCGAGCTATGCGTGAGCTTATTGCTCTCTTTGCTCTCTCCTAGCACTTTTTTTTTTCTTCGTAGTATTCATATTTAATAGCTCGAACTATATTTGTGCATGAATTTAGATTGTATAAAGAAGATTCTAGGGAATTTTCGACTGTTGGAGTAATGGATACAAGTTTTAAACTGATCTTCTCTCTTGTGTAAGTCATGTTTTCACTGCGCTATTTCTCACAAGTTACAATGGGCTTGTTGCATTGTCTCTTACCCATCTCTTAGTTTCTCTACCCTTAATTGTGTTGTGCACAAAGTTATTACTATTTATAGCTAAGCAGTGCTTCGTACCTGCATCTACGATCTCTTTTTTCGCTTTTTTTTTTATTTCTATGTTTTTTACATTTTTTTTTTTTTTTTTTTTTTTTCTACACTCAGAGCTCTTATTTTTTTAATAAACTGTTTATTATCCTATCTTTATTTTTTTTTTTTTTTTTTTTTTTTTGTTTTTTTTTTTTTTTAGGCCAAACTGCGCCGCGACGGATTTACGGCCAAAATTCACCTCAACTGACTGCAAATTTACCACAGTCATTGAACCGATACTCCAGGATCACTAATACTGTTAGCAGATCGTCTTTGTTCTGAACGTTTCTAACCATCTGTGAGTTTCAGATAGCTCTTATGATTGGCAATGCCATCTGCAGTTTCCTCCAGCCGTCCATCTACGAAAGCATCATCAGCATTCAAGGATATCCATACCTGGCGGATTTGCCACCGAGTCGTGTCAGGTAACAAAAATAGAATCGTTTAGTACTGATCGAAATTTATACGAACCATTCCAGTGTTCACACAATGAAAGTAGAGAAGGTCATGGTGAAGGACATTGTTTTCATAACACGCGATACAACGTACATGGAACTACGAGAGATTCTTCTGGAAACACCTAATCTTCGCTCATATCCCTTCGTCACTGATAAGAGTGAGTAGTTCAGGACTACTGAATTAGGCTGAAAAATAATGCAGGTAAAAAAATCACAATTAGGGAGGAAGAAGAAGTAAACAGGATAAATGAAAATCACGGTAAAAAAATAGGAAAGGACAACCTAAAGTAGTGTGTTTGACTGAAAGTAGTGTGTTTGACTTCTCATGGTTTGTCAGACGAGCAGAGGAGCTACACTAGAAGGTCATTTACTTGGGTCTTGTTAGTCACTGAAGAATTCTAAAATACAGCAGAAAGCGTGAGAGAATTCCGTTACTCTTGGTCGTTGGGGAGTAGGTTGCACCCAGGAATGTTTCGTATGTCACCTTGCTTGAAAGGTGCATTTCGCGCAATTGCCGCGATTTTAAATGCTCTACACCCGAGCAACGCTATCTCCGCGAATATAGTGATCTGTGGCGTTTTGGCGCCAACACTAGAGAATCAGGCTTCTTCCCGCCATAATGTGTTGATTTGGTTTGATTAGGTATTCAGCCCGAGAACTTCGTAATTTAAGGATCAATGACTCTGCTGGGGAGCGTGGCTCGGAAATACCTGTGCTATCTTCTTGTCAAACACCTTGGGCCCGATCCAGGCATCCAGCTGCACAAACGGAAAAGTAGAACGGCATCCGAACTGTTTAACACAATCGGACAATTCAGGTATAATGACCACTCTACAAAGGCCCACTTGATCGTTCACAACGTTCCTTGATTCTAGGAGAGGATCCAACGTCAATTTCAATGCAATCAACAACGGTACAAGTCCACAAGGCTTCCTTACGGATCGAAATATCAGCGGCAATACGTTATTGGCACATTCGCCACTTCATGATAATCAAGGAGAGCGAGGACCGCTTGCCTCACTGTTATATAGCCAAACTGAGAACAGTGAGGTGCCCGTGGTAAGTGGTAAATAGAAATTTTTATAAGTCCATGAGGGGGTATGGTCGATATCGTCGCAATTTGGCGGGCAAGTGTCAAGGAGCTTAGAATAAGCCCAACGTCGTTTTCCCACCATTAGTGGCTAATGCAGGTAGACGGATGGGCTCTTCTTTCTGCACCGCTCCGAGTGACTGCAATGATGTCACCTGTAGCATGAGAGCCTCATTACCTGAGGATAGAACAAAGGCATATACTACTTTTTACAGCATTCGTTGGCAAAACGTGCTGAGATTTTGGCATCAAAACTCCACCTGGACGATGTGGCCATAGATCCGGCACCATTCCAACTCGTCAAAGGCACATCGCTATATAAGGTAATTTCACGTTATTTCAAGCCGAGGGTGGATATTCAATTGTTTCTCGACAGGTTCACACGCTGTTCTCGTTGTTGGCTCTGAATCACGCCTACGTCACAGAAAAAGGCCGACTTGTCGGTGTTGTTGCTCTTAAAGAGGTAAGCATTATCTAGATTTGATAAGAAGTAGTGTCGTTTCAATCTCACTGATAACCCAAGCGTTGAAGTTAGTGACATCATGCACCATTGAAATTACAAAGCCAGAGAAAAAAAAGGGAAAAGCGCAAGTAAAAGTAGCTAGTGTTGACCAGGCGCGTTAGTAAGCTGTTTGCTCACGAGAAATCATCGACATAAAAGGTTCTATTCCGCTATTACAACATGAGACCATAGAAGTGAACTGCTCGTGCCGCTTGAATTTGCTTCTCAAAGCAGCTGCAGTTCCATGATCTGTCAGCCGACTACTCAAACAAATTTCCTTTGATCATTTCCGTTTTCTAGTTTTGTACCTCTCCCACGCACTGCGTTCTGCGAGCACTGCAACCTCAAACAAGTCTTTCCATTTTTTCGCGCATGATGAGTGACCCACCAACAACATAAAACCTTCTTGAAAGAACCCATTATCTGGCTCGCCACATATTTTTTGCTTTTCTCGATGCTTCAACAGCCACTGTCGTCTGACTGTCTGCATGCAGGCTTCGCAACAGGGCCATGAACAAAGGTGGGAGAGTGAGGGCGCCATAAGCCAACACCGGCTGTTCATCTGCACTTCCCACTGAAATGTTGTTTTGTGGGTTCCGTTCATAGTGAAGGTCTCCTTCGAGGTGACTCCAACGCTCGAATACGAAATCCGTATGGTACGTCGAATACCAACCTCTATTTTCATTATAGCGCATTTTCGAGTGGCAAAAGGGGTACTCTACGGCTGGCAACCTGCTAACCATGCGTAGGAAGAGAAAACCCTTCCCTGTAGTGTCACTTAACCGTGCCCCGTCAGCACAGTAGTTCTGGAAGATTTTGGCCCCTTAGAACTTAGGTGTAGAATTCAGGTAGCAATTTTTACAATTGCCAATATATTTTGCTTCAGCTCCGCGAAGCCCTCTCGAACATCTACTCACGTGGTGCAGTGCCGATTCGCCCACGTGTACGGACGATGTCGTCGTTCCGAGTCGCTGGAGCTCCGGATGTTCCCGATAATGTGGCAGCAGATGACGCACCTCCTCAGATCACATTTAATGTACCTTCCAGCAGTTCGTCTAGCCATACTTCGGCTGCCTGAATGTGGATGTCCCTCATGGACAATTCGAAGAGGGGACAGAGTCGCATCGCTCGACAAAATCGATAAGCATAGTAGAGCTCCCAAATGATGTACATATGCGGCGGAATGTGTATTATACATTGATTTCA